TATTTTGATATTAAGAAACAATGTTCTTCACTTACGAATTAATGTTAAAAATACGTGATTGACATTACAAGTCATTATTTTAGGTTCTTTAATTTATTTAATTTATTTGCCAAGTAAATCTACAAATAAACCGGTTTTGGAATCTAAAAAAAAAACAAACTTCTACTTTATGGTTCATCATTGACATTTATATGTCATATCGTCTCATTTTATCCTACCAAAAAAACTACTGAAACTCCCGAATATGATCATATCGAACCTTCACCAAATCTTGGAATTCTGGTAATATATGGTTATTCCTCTATCAGCATTGGTTAGTTTGGTTATTTTAAAATTTCACAATTATAATTCGTGATTTTTTTCATTGGGTACGACAGACAGTCCGGAAACTTCTCTCGTTACACCACTAAAAAAAAATCCGCGGCAATTTACTAATTTGGTATAAATCTAAGATTCTGTGTAATCAAGCGGTAAAATTTTAAATAATATATTTTCAATAAACTTTCGAGATAGGAAAAAAAAAAAAAAAAAATTATTGTTCATTTCCTCCGCCATTATTTTTCTTGGTGTGAATTTTAATTTATTTATTCTTTCTAAATGATAATTTATTCTTTTTCCTAAACATGATTCGATTTAATCGTTTAATTCATGTTACATCTAGATTTCAATTTCATCATGTAAATTTTGTATCAAAAGAACGCGGTCAATTATATTTAACTAGATTACATTCGACTAATAATAATAAATCGAATTCGATAAATCCTACATCTCGATTGGACAAATTAACAAATGCTAGAAATCCGATCCCTCTACAAAAAAGACATTTGAACCAAGATACTAATGCGGCGGGAGTATGGGATCCTTTCCCCGGTAAGTTTTAAATTTATTTATGTATATGATGGTCTTATCATTCAACTGTTTAACTAAAACTTTCTTAGATCCTTTTCAGCCAATCGTAGAATACTCGGCAGAAACTGCTTTGGGTGATGATGAGGATGAGGATCCAAAGAAAAAGAAAAAACCTTCAGTCAAAGGTGGTGCCGGTCATCATCCACCACCACAACCACCTTTTCTTTCTCCTCGTGTAATGGATGCTGTTTTAACTACTGTGATGGGTCTAGCAGCTGTAGGTCTTGGTGGTGTATTATATCAAACATGGTAAATTTAGAAAAGATTTTTTTTTTTTTAAAAAAAAAAAAAAAAATTAATAATTAAGTATTTACGATTTTTTTTTTTTAAAAAACAAAAAAAATTAATAATTTCATGAAGGTATGAATGGAATGAACAACATAAAGTTTTGTTATCATTTACAAAACCGATCCCATTATTAAAGTCACGAACATCAGAATCATTTTTTGCCAGAACAGAACAAAAAAAAATTGCATCCGTTGTAGCGGGTCATGGTAGAGCAAAATACTTTTTACTTGTTGGTGAAAGAGGAACAGGAAAAACTCAATTAGTGTTAAATGCAATGGAAAAGATCGGACATTATGGGATTGTATTTTGTGAGGCTCATTCAGATAGTGAGGTTTTTAAAACCCGATTAGGGAGGGCCTTAAATTATACTTATAGGGAAGATTATGTTGGTCAGCTCTTTGCCAGAGAAGCCCCCGAAAGAGGTATGTATTCATTTATAAAAATAACATCTTTTGATTGAAATCCCTTGATTAAATCTTTTTCTTTGATCAGGTTCTGCTTTGTTGGATGTTGAGAAGGCTTTTAATATGGTTGAACAGGTTGCGATGAAATATGTTAGAAGAAGAGGTCGCCCATTAATTCTAATCATCAATAACATTCATGCATTTAAAGATGATGATGATGGTATAGACTTGTTGGAACTTTTGCAACAACGAGCAGAATCATGGGCCGCTTCCAGGCTTGTCACGATGGTATTTAACACCGATGATTATTCTGTTTATGAGCGAATGAGTGAGTTTATCTTTTTTTTTTTTTTTTCTCTCACTTATATATGAATTCTAAATGTCCGAGATGATTTTTTACATTAATCAGAGCGAGACGCATCTCGTATGGAAGTCATTAGGGTTAATGATCTGACACATGAGGAAGCCGTAAGATTATTGAAAGAAAAACGTCGTGGTCACGAATCTGATGAAGAACTTGAGAAACTTATTATGGAACGTGTAGGAGGTCGCCTTTCCTATGTAAATCGATTGGGAAGAGAAGATGATATTTATGGTGAGTAAAGAGTTCAAAATAAATAAAAATAATTTAATTACGTTTATTAAAACAAAGTTAAAATCCTTTCATCATGTAGAAACTGTAGCTCAACTTGAAAGTGAAGAAAAAACGTGGCTGACAAATCAAATTGGATTAATCCCAGATTTTGAAGAGACAGCGTTTGACAGTCAAAAATACGCATCATGTGCATGGAAATTAATTAAGGCTTTGGTAAAATCCGAAGAAAAGAAATTACCAGTAAATGATTGTAGAATTATTACGGGAAATCCGAAATGGTTAGAAATGTTGGATCATGATAATATTATCATGATCGATGACCAACACAACGTTAAGGCAGATTCAAAAATTTTACAAAATATTTTCGAAGAGATTGTTAATCGTGAAGATTTTGATGATTTATTAGACAATGTTTGTGAAAGGGTTGAAGAGGTTGATAAGGAACAAAGAACGAGAGAGATAATATGGAGCAAAAAGAATGACCAAGTCGTCAGATTCGGACATCCAAAGAAACAGGGTTGGTTTTGGTGAAATTTATGAAAATTTATATCAATAGATTATGAAAATTTTTATTAAAAAAAAAAAAATTTTTGGTATTTTTCTGCTTTTCGTTTCCAAATTGAGAGACACTTGTACGACGCAGAGATTTTATAGTTTTAGAATTTGTAAATTACCAATAAAGGGAATTTTTAATTTATCTTTATTAATAAATTATCGAAAATTTCCGTGTAACATAAGATATGGATAATTAATTCTCTTCAAAAAAAAAAATTTTTTTTTTAACATGAATTTCTTTGTAATTAAGACAAAAACAATTAAGATTTATTTTTTTTTTTTTAAAAAAAAAAAAAAAAATAACGCGACCGTTTTTCATGTCGATCAAGCATAAGTGTCGTTGTATCGTTGCACAGCATTTGTTCCTAACGACCAAAAACAGGTTTTATTTTTTTTATTTGCGACTGGAAATAGAAATTCTAAAAAGAAGAGAAACAAACAATTTTTTTAACTTGATTTATTATGTTTCGTGTAAAAAACTTTTAACGTCTTTACTTAATTTGAAAAATCAAATAATAATAATAATAGCAATAATAATAAGGTTAACAACAACAATAATATCGATCATATTGACATTGACAGGAAATTTCAAGTTGGTCAATCACTGGTCTGATCTTTCTTGTTTTCGTCAGGCTTTGGCGCACGTCGTTCACTCATAAAATTGTCAAATTTACCCTTTAATGATTTCAATAAAAATAAAATTGATGTAAATTTCTCAAAATTATCATAAATGGAACCAAATTTCGAAAGTTCACCTTGAGAACTTGAAGGAACTTTCCAGGCTCAGTTGACGAGATCGATGTACAGAGTTCGGGCATCGCACACGCGATATCTTCATCAATCATTGCAGCTACGTTGAAATTTTTTATGGCGTAAAATCATTAAAACCTTTGACATTCAAATAACAAAAAAAAAAAAAGGTACAGGTTACCGGATCGTGCCCCTGCGACCATTGCGGCTGTAGAAATAGAATTGTCTTTAACGTCAGTATTCATGATTTTCTTTATTCAAAAAATTATTTGAAATGATAGACAAAAGAGAGTTCATACTGTATTTATTTGTATTTATTTATACGAAAAAATCGGGTAAGTTGAAATGAGTCACTGCGTTAATGACCAAATATTACCAAGTATTACTAAAAAGTAAATCTTATAGTTACTGATTATCCGATTTTATACAAGTTATATAAAGGGGTGGTAATTTCAAAACGGGTTTATTCAACAGGTAGAATGTCAATCAAGCTTGATGATCCTTCTCGTTTCTTTTTCTTCACGCATATACTTGCGTTACTTTGTGCTTGAATAACTGGCCCCGTAAAAATGTTTTCAAGCCATCAAGGGGATCTGAGCAAATAAACATGTATAACCCCAACTTGTATTTGCGTATATAAAGTGCAGTTCATATTTGATCGATTCAAAAAAAAAAAAAAAAGATATAAAAAAAAAACCTTTTTCTAAAAAATAAAAAAAAAAAAGGAAAGCTTTTTACGACTTTAATTTGTCCGTAATACATGATGGGAGAAAACAAAAGCTTTGACGCAACAGACTTTTTTGCTGGTCAACCAAACCTTCCAACTATACTGGAAAGTGATGAGGTACCAAAAACTCTTACGTCTTCCCCGCTTGCTTCTCCTCCAATGTCTCTGGATCAAAAGACTAATGCTAAAAGTAATACGACAACGACCTTGCCTAATGGAACACGTTCAAATACTCCAGATACAGACGAAACAGCAGTTGAAGTAGGAAATGGCACGACAAGTTCACCAAAGACTCCGTCAAGAAATAGTAGTAGGTCAAATACTCCAAGTAGCGAAAAAGGTTCTAAGCGTAGTAATAAGAGCACACCTTCTTCGCCCGTTTCTCGTACAATAAATAGTCGTTCAAACACCCCAGACATAAATAGAATATCTCGAAGGGTGAATAGGGAAGCGACTTCAACTCCAACAGGTTCTCGAACTCCTTCCCGAAGTCGTTCAAATACTCCGGATATCTCTAAACGGAAAAATACTACAGGATTTTTACAGACTGAAAATCATGAAATGAAACCAATCAGAGAACCACTTACTAGCAGTAATTTTATACATCTTGGCGTTCCCGGTGAAATCAATTTTCCTTCTGCCAATATACGTGAATTAACAATTGGAGTCTTTCATGTCTTTAATCCAACGGAACATCAAATTTCTTGGAGTTTAACCCCAGCTGAAAATGCATTGTTTCGTCGTTTAGGGACCGCAACAAATGCTGCTACAAAAGTTGATGATGACATTTTCTTGGTAACAAAACCAAGGGGATTTCTAGGTCCAAAACATGCTGAAAGGGTTGATGTACATTTTCGTCCGTTAGGTGTTGGGACTTATATACAAAAATTTGTGTTGGAAGATGCTTCAGGAAATCTCACAAATAATGTAGATGCTGTTAGTATGAGCTTTCAAGGGATCGCTACTGAAAATACTTTTAGTACTTTATTACAAAAACATAAACCATCAAAAAAAGAAGTGAAATTTGAAGTTGAAGGATCTGAGGTCAAGTTGCCCCCTACGAGGGTTGGAAAGCAAAGATCCATGGGTATTAAAATATCAAATGTTTCAAAGGAATCAGTTAGACTGAATTGTAAAGTTGAAACTTCAACTGGTCCTGGAGGAAAATATGTTTTATCTCTTCCAATGAATAGTGTCGTAATTAAATCTGAGGGGTTTGCTATCCTTCCCGTTCGTTTTCAACCAAGAGCAGAGGGTGAAGTTAAGGGTATTGTTACAATACAATCGGCACACAACAACGAAGTTAAGGTCGATATTTTCGCAAAAGGCGTGTTGGACAATCGACACACCATATAGTCATTTTGGAGGTTTTCGAGAATTCCTTTTTTTATCAATAGACTTTATTTTAAGATTGGACAATTAACATCATCATTCTTCATTGTAAATTTTTCTTGTTTTTTAATTTCGTGGACAGGATCCCGGATCATTATTAATTTTTCGTAGTATTTAGAAAGTATAGTATATATGTATGTTAATTAGCATCGTGGACATTGTAGAAATTTTTTTAAAATTAGAAATTATAGTAATGTATTAACAAGACGTTAATATTGCGTGATTTATTAAATTTTGCATACCAGTAACAACAGTACCCATTCGAATTATTAACCGGTAATTTTTTTTTAGAAATAATATCTATAAAAAAGTTGTATATTTTTTTTTTTTTTTTTTAAGAAATTTCGTGAAAATTTTTAAAGGTTAATTCCTATAACTCTGCATTTATTTCAAAAGTACACATCAAATTTTTTTCTTGAGATAATTTACAAAACAAACTTGAAGATATTTAATCCGCCTATTCTCAACAAAGTTCAAAAATTGCGAACAAGCTCCAGTAGAAATATTGATAAATACCTGGTGTGCATTATTTAATTCAATCTCAGGGGCACTTATATCTGAATCACCAGCGATCAATGAATTCCTTTTTTAGAGGACAAAATAAATAATATCACTAGATGATAAATCATATCTACGATTTTAAGTGCCACGAGCTCGATCATGACGTTATTTTCGCGTGTAAGTAAGGGAGGAAAATGACAAATGAATTCATGCTAAATCTAGATTTATTGAGCTAGAGGAATATATAAATTAATTTGATAATATAATAATAAAAACGATTCTAATTTTGACACATTCTTTTTATTCACAAAAAAAAAAAAAATTAAAAAAAAATAAATAAATAAACAAAAAGATTAGGAATCTATTTAATGGTTAGCCTTTTGAAGAAGAACCACTATTTTGCCTACTTGAAATGTTATCAAAAGGGACATTTTCAATCTTATAACCTTCACCAACTTCAAGAAGGCCTCTTCTAAGGATGAATTTTTCGTAAATTTCATAATCAAATTTTTGACTTGCTTCAAAAGCTTCCCTAATAGAAACTTTCCAATTTTCATGCTTTGAGTCGGTATCTGATTTTGAATCAAAATTGGCATCTTTAACTAAATTAAAAAAAGCATCCAACGCTTCACTGCAATTATCCAAATTTTCACGTAATTCCCATCTAAAGATCAATTGTCGTAAAGTTAGTCGTTAAAATTAAATGATAAGGGACCGATTGATCTATTAACTTACGTAGGCTTCGCATAACCTTTCCATTGAACCAGAAACTTTTCACGACCCTATAACGTAAGAACGATGGGTTAGCACGCGGGAATTGAACGATGCCGATGACAACACGAGAAGTATTTCACATACTTCTTCAAATTTCCTTTGAACTATCGAATCAACTTCATAAGTTTCAAATTTACTATATTTACGTCTTGGCATTTCTTCGATTTCTACCTCCTCTTCATATGACTCTTCGGTCTCTCCTGCCTCTACCTCTGATACGTCCATGTCAACACCGTCATCTTCGCCCTCCTCTAATTCTTCAAACTCCTCTACCTCCTCAAATTCTTCACCAAATTCTTCTTCCTCATCCTCATCTTGATTTGGATCATAATTTGATTCATCCCACGCCGCCGCTTTTGTAGAACTTAGCGTTCTCTTAGCTAAAAAAAAAAAAAAAGAAAAAAAAAAGACAAAAAAATTAATTAATTTAATTCAAGAATTGATGACGCATCATCTCATATTTACTTCTTCGTGGTCTTGTAGAGCTCATAGTTTAACTATTTTAATAAATTTTTTATCGTAACTTATTTATTTTTTTTTATTTTTTTTTATTTTTTTTTCAAATAGGTTCCACTTTTGTGAATGAATTGACGGCAGGAAAAGAGGGAACCAAGAACTTGAGCCTTTTTTTTTTTTAGATTTCACACGTTTAATAACGAAGAATCATAAAAAATAAAAATAATCATAATACTGTAAATAAATAAATAAACAGAAAAAGAGAACCGAAAATTTTTTTATATATGCTTTTTAGGTCGCGATCCGATCATATGACCGATCTCGGTCCAAATCTTAAGGTTTGGCCGTCACGTGCTCAATTAATCAATTAATGATGTTTATTAAATAAGATTTAAAAACTAGTTCCGGAAACAGCAAATCTGATCGATAATTACCTAATTAAAACAATGGGCAAAATTAAACTTATGACGAAAAATTGGTAAAACTTGGTTCAAGTTCAAAAAACCCAAAAAGACAAAGCATTTGAATTTATTTATTCGTCACACGTTAATTTCGGTAATGCCGGCCAAAAATCACGTAAAATCTTAAATGTATTTTAAAAGGTATTCTGGATTTGTTTTATATTTATAATTTTTTTAAAATTGGTTATTTAGCAAATATGTAAACACATATATACGTTGAATATGCAAATTATTGTACAAAAATGACTTATCTTTTATAAAGGTCTAAACCTCACTTGGAAGAGAAAGGTTTTGTTATAGCATCATTTTCAATGATTCATTGACAAAATTGTAATTAATGAAAGTTTTTTTTTTTTTGTTTTGCACGCGAAAGGAATCTAAAAATAAAGACATAAATTATATATTTTCAATATGTTTCCAAAAGTATTTCAAAAAGAAAATAATTCTAACAATTAACATGTTATCTACTTAAACAAGAAGGCATGTTTTTTTTTTTTTTTTACAAAAACGGAATATAATATATCATTTTTTACTGGATCTGTAAAAGAATCGGTAAACGCATTTTAATTTCGAACTTTAGCTATCCAACAATTGTGTTATCAAACATGGAACCATTCAATGATTCGGTTGTGCTTTTATATTACCTTATTAACAAATAAACAACAAACATTAAAAAATAATAACAAGTTTCATGTTTTGACGCTTCTTTAGTACTGTATATCTGGTATGATCTGCTCATGTCGTCAATCAAGAGATTTCGTTGTTTAAAAAAGGTTTCTGTAAAAATGGGTTCAGAGCTTCGTGAAAAGAAAAACACATTATGCATTTATTTATAGATTTATATAAAGATTATTATGAAATAATTACCGGATAAGATTATAAATTTCTTGATAACAAAGAATTGACATTTTATACTTTAATTTAAACATTGGTTGAGTTTTTTTTTTCAAGTATATAAACAGGAAAAAAAAAAAATTTATTTATTGTATATTTATTTTCTAAATTTAATATATTGCTGTTTTAAATTACAAATTTAAAATAAAATATCCCTCTCTCTCTATATATATTTCAAATTTTGTATATTTACTTTTTGGCAAAAGGTTTAAGCTCAAAATTCTTGGAATATTTCCAATCTAAAGCTTCATATGCTTTAAAGTCGGTTGGATCTTTGTCTCCCTTCTTTTTATGTCTTAATCTAATGATATAATTTTTGCCAGGCTTGTATGGACGTTCTAATTTCCAAGAGAATGACTTCTCGCGAACCTTTGCACGGTCATCAATGGTATCAACATATCTATTATTAACAAAAGAATGAATATTAAACATAAAATCATTATAAATTTTCTTATCAAAGTAAATCATAATAAAAAAAAAAAAAAATTGACATACTTGAAGTTTTTGGAAGTACCGGTACCGATTTCGATAAAAATTAAATCTTCAGCGGGAGCTTTTTGGAAACCCTTTTTGAAACCAGTGCAGGACCATTGGACGAAACCGTCTTTGCCCAATTGCCATGTTTTTGGTCCTAATGACGTGACCTAGTTGAAAACGAAAAAAAAATTTTTTTCATAAATTATCACCTAAAATTACCTTTTTTTTTTTTAAAAAAAAAAAAAAAAAAAAAATACTGAATGTGTTATATAAATATATACTTACTTTACAATTAATTCCATTAATGGCACGTTCTTCAATTGCTGGAGCTGGAGCAGTTAAACCACTAGCAGCCAAAAGACCTAGGATCAAAAAAGTGTTGGAAAAGAACTTCATTGTTTGAAATTAAAAAAGAAAGTGCGAGGTGATAAAAGTGGAAATGAGATGGGGTGTGTGGGAGGGATTAATCCTTGCTATAAAGAATGAATGCAAAGATTTTTTTTTTTTTGAAAGGATGATTGGAAAGAGGAGTTTATAAAATTTTACTCGGGAAATTCTCGAGGGTTTAAATACTTCTTTTCTCAAGTACTCTTAAGTTGTATTCTTAATAATCTCTTGAAAACCTTATGATTGAACTTACCGAATTTGGTGATTTAATTTTGCATATCTTCTTTTCCTTCGCTGAACGAGAGAAACTTCTCTAGAAATGTAACGGTTATTTGTTCGATTTATTCGTGTTTTTTTTTGTCATGATCTATGCATAATCCCCTCGTTATTGGTGAATTATCGTACGACCGTTTAAAATATTTTATGGTGTTCAATTACCAATAATCGATTTCCTATTTTCGTACAAGAAAACCTTTTTAAAATCCCGGGAAAGCGTATGTTATCGTTAGAAATATTATATTAATTAAGTGTTTAATTTTACAATCATCTGAAAATGACTTTATTGCTTCTTAATAAGTTTCCGACTTCTTTTTTTGGAATTTTTCAAATATCTGTATAACCGACGCTTTAATTTATTACGCATTATGCAGAAAGTAGGTGTTTGTTCCTTTTGGTGAATCTCGATTGGATAAAAAATGTGTTAGTGAACATTGAACTAGCCTTACACATCCGTGACACGGTTCGTGGCACATATGCGAAATTGACAATTTTTTCAGAACATTATTATTTTAAAAAAGAGTGTTATTGTTTTTTCTTAACACATCCTCATACATTACTGCGTGTTATGATGACCAATTATTATAATCTCCCAACTATTATTAAAAAAATTGTCATTTATATATTTTTATTTTATATATACAAAAAAAAAAAAAAAAGGAAACTTAATCTATCTGTATCAAGTAGGGAATCCAATCAGTCAATAATAAGTTCAAGCTATATGCGGTATCTGTAGTTCTCTTCCTCCTCGATTTAATTATCAACCACAATGAAATCACTCATTTTAAGTTTTTAACTGTAAAGCTCTTGTCGTGTAGTGTAAATCATCAGCTGCATTCGTTTCGTCTTATTTGTTACAAAAGTGTTATAACTCAAAAATAATTTATATAAAAAAAAAAAAAAAAATTCTGACACGAGTTGTGAAATGTAAATGAAATATATTCAAAGATGTCTTTACATGAATAACATCAAGGAGATAAGAATCAAAACTAATAGCTTAACTAAATTAATTTATCACTAAATTTCATATTAAATGTCCTCCTTTTTCAAAATCCAAGTTGCACTAACCACAAACGATAAAAATAAATATCATACCAAGAAAAGAAATTTTCTTTTTGGAATATAATACGGTTCGATATTAGGGAGAAAAAACACGGAGTGAAGAAGAAGAAAAAAACCCTTTATTTACAAAAGTTCGTTACGATCGTAAATCATTCGTGAGGAATTTTCACCAATTCGAATTTAGGCTTTGAAGACGAAATCGAAGGTCGTGGACGTTTTAGAATTAATTCACATTTATTACCTTAAAAATTATGTGAAATCAATAAAGAACTACGATAGCATTTGGCATAAAAGGCACAAATGAAATCCATAATAAAAACGAACCAACCTAAAAAGCGAGGAACTTACAAAGTTTTTGTCCTTCTGGACCTCTCCAATAAGGAGCATTATTTGTTCCGCAATTATGACACGCAAATTCAGGACGTTGTGTTCGTCTGAGCCGGACGGTTCCGTCCGGAGCTATTTCGGTTGGTCGATGAACTCCCTTGTTTTTTAAGCTTCAAAAAAAGATTAAAAGATTTATTTTATCATGGTAAATTCAAAATAAAGGTAGGTATGAAAATTTAAGGAACGTACTAAAGACCACAGGCGTTACACAACAAAGCAATTCCTTGCAAATCGCGTCTCCAAGCAGGGGTATCGTGGACTCCACAATTCGAACACTGCACGATTTCATTCTGACGAATTCCTTCGATGAAAGTGGGAGAAGGTATAGAAGAAAACAAGCGGGAATATTCAGATTCTGATTTTCTACCTTTCTTTTTCTTCCCTTTTATCATTTGCGCTTCTTTCATGGCCATGTACTCTCTAAAGGATTGATTCGCCAGAGATGCGTTAACCACGTGATCATCAATCAGCTGTCCGTATCCTAAGGTGTTTGTGCCACTAGCGATTCCATAGTAAGGAGACGACGGTAAAGGACGCGCCTCGTTCCAATACGACGATTGATTATTCGATATCGGATTATCCCTGACGGACGTAAAAGGCCGACCGTAATCAACGGTGGCTTGCATCGTCACATTATTTTCAAAATTCAATAAACTTGGATCAATTCTGGTCGGTTCTAGCACGTAATTATTATTATTATTATTTGATATGACGTTTTGGTCAATTGCGGCTTGAGGAAGATATTGATAAACGTTTGCATAATAAGCACGTTCATTTAAATTTGGTTGATTGGAATTTTGTTGAAAACTTTCGTCGTATTGCTGCTGTTCTTGAGTTGTTTCTTGAGAGTCATTCCGCTCTGAAGCAAAGTTTGGAATTTCGTAAGTGACTTCTTCGTCAGTTGTAGAGGAATCGGAGACACTTTCTACAAGAGGAGTTACAAGGGTATCTTTTTGCGTGCATTCGTCCAAACTTGTAGAAGGAAGACGTTCATTATCAGTTTCGGATTCATTAGACTGATAATAAATTTCATCAGATTGGCAAGAATCTTGTGATGGTTGATTTGTACCATTAGTGCTTTCTTCATTAGATGCGTCACTTGCTTCCTCAAAAGAATCGTTTTGCGTATTTCCTGACATTTCGTTAGGGAGAAGATCACAAATCTACACGATGAAATAAAAATAAAAATAAAAATAAAAAATAAAAGGTAAAATATATATATTTATATGAGATTTATATCGTACAAGAAATTATGTAATCGGTCTCAAAAAAAGCAGCCTACATTTACTTTTTTTCTTTTTTTTTTTTTTTTTGCCTTTAGTTATGGACAATAAAAAAAAAAAAAAAAAAAAGTGAGACTGATAAATTAAATAAACTCACGATATCTATGTGACGCACGATTTCGATCCTTTAATTTATTATCGTTATAGTATGTAAAATCACTTTACGCCACGTGATAAAGCCACAAAAAGGAAATGATCCCGTATTTTTTTTAGTTATAGATTTTTCTTCTCACCAAGAACGAATTTTTTTTTTTTCAAGAATGACAAGTAATTTATAAACAAAGCGATTTAAAAGAAAATTTTACGGGAATATTTATGTCTTATTCATTAAATTATAAATATCTCGGGTAATAATTCTTTTCTTTAACGTCCCATCATCGGCATAACCATTTCATTGGTATTATTGAAAATGTTAAAGTATTGTTTAAGGGTGACGTAAATTGAGTATGTGAGTTAAAATATGATGCATAGTGATCAATAATTTACTATGTAAGAAGTATATGTAAATAAAAAAAAAAAAGAACAAAAAAAATAATTGCAAAGATGCATAATTTGATTGATTACTAAAAAAAAAAAAAAAATAAATTATTTACACAATAATATTGATGATATCGAGCATAAACTGATTTATACGCATTGCGGCTCACTACGGGCTAAGTTATTAAAAAACGACATGTATTTCAATTCGGAGGGCTCCCTTGAACACAATCATTTCTATTTTTGCAATTATTTATTAAGATAATGCGTCGAAACTAACGATAAAGTTTTACGGGTTCACATGGTAAAGTTGAGAAACTTAATCAGTTCTACTGTATATAAATATAATTTCTCTTCGCCGTCAACTTATAAAGAAAAAAAAATAATAGTTGCATATTTAAATGTTAAGTGGAAATTTTTTAATATTATTTTTCAGTAAATAAATATATTTTATATATTTTGGAATTTCAAGACTCTGGAGATATTAATTTGTACGGTTTTACTTATTCAATCACGGCAATCAAATAAACTTTTGCCGTTATTTTTAGGACATTACGTATTTTGCATAAAATCACTTTTAATTTTCGCTTAATTAAGACCGAACATTATTCACGTGAAAACTGTCGGCGAGATTTAATTTATTTTGGAATTTTGGGCAAAAGAATTGATGGCTGTTGAGAAAGACACCTTTCAGATTAAAGGTGGGATCAATATTAACAGCTCCGCTGTGATGTTAGTAAAACAATGGAGATACTGAAACCCTTAAAAGTCAAAATTAAATGTTTTTTAAATATTTGAAATGGCGCGGTACTGAAATTCGTTAATAAGGTTTGCGGGAATTTGTTTTTTAACCGTATAAAAATACATGATTGTATTTTGCATTGTATAATTAATTTTACGCGTATTTTTCTATTCGATCAAGCAATTTTTACTCCATTTCCGCAAAAGAAACGCGCGAGCTCTTTTATGGTCACAATGATTATATCGACTGAGATGGTCGTACTTTCAGTTCTTGGAACTAACCAAGGACATCATCACCGAATCTGGTATAGCGACAGGAATTTTGATCGGGACTAGATGGTGCATGGTAGCAAAGACTTAAATCCAGTGACTTTCTTTAAGGACAGGGTATATATAGTTTGCACAATTTGCGCTTACCAATAGGAAAATTAGAATTCGTTTATCTTTATTTCTTTATCGTTATTTATGCACATATTTTGTAAATGGAATCCGATTCTATCATTGCAAAATAGTGTGAAAAGAAACATGATTCCAGACGCCATCATTTCTTGGTGAATGATGAAATTTAGGTCTTAAGGATCTTATTAATCTGGCTATTACTCGGCTCAAAGGTGCTTCCTGTAATGGAAGGTGAAGGTATGTACTTTTTAGTAAATAAGCATATGTAGTTTGCGGTCGCTTAAGTCTAAACAATTATTGTTATTTAACTATAGAGCAAGAACAATATTGAGGTTCAATCAACTTCAAAATTTTGCGAATTTTCTCTGCGAAAGAAATAAATAAATCAAGCCGATTCCCCAAGCAATTCTAAGAAAATAGCCTAATTAGATACTGCTTGGTTGTATGAATTTTAAAATAGTATTTATAACTCAATCATATCACAATTATATCATAAGGGGTGGCTGTTACAAATAAAGTAAGTTCTAAGTTCTTTTTTTATTTTCATATAACAAATTCACACTCAAGACCAGTGATTTAAGCGGCATTTGTAGTAAGTTGTACATACAAGAATATCATTTGAATTTTTTATTTGGTTTTGCTGAAATAATGAACGTATGGTTTTCTCTCTAATAAATATTATCGAGATTAATATGTAGCTTATTTTTTTTTTTAGGATTAAGGAATAAATTGTATATAACCCTTTTGCCCTTTAAATTACCATTTTTCTTGGGTCAAGCAACCCTATTTGTAACACCAGACTTTGTGGTATAAATGGTGCGTCAGCCCCAATTTCCAAAACAGGAACAGTTATCATCATTTCTATGGTCACTTTTTGGATTTAATACTCTAAATGTTGTAGTTGTTAAAATTGTCATACCGAGGCTGATTTCGGAAATCAACCGATAATAGTATGTGGGGCTGTGAATTAAATACATAGCCTCACATATATAAATTAAAAATCAATTTTGGTATGGAAATTTTTCCGAATAATAATGATCTTGTTAAAATTTATTTTTCCTTTTATATTGCTTTCGCTAATATCAAGAACTGTTTATGCCCATGAACATCATAAACTTTTGGATAATGTTGGTGCAACAGACACACCCATTGACGGAATTCTATGGACTCATATAACTTTTATGTCTTTAGCGTTTGGGATAATATTTCCAACAGGTATGTAAAAATAATATATTTATCTGGTAAAAAAAAAAAAAATTTCGCATATCTTTACGTTGACGTCTACGAAGGAATAACCATTAAAATTTATTTTATAAAGGTATGGTCTTGGGTTTTAGTAGGTCTAAGTGGCATATCCCACTTCAAATCCTAGGTTCAATATTATCATTGATCGGTTATTTCCTTGGTCACGCTCATGGTGGAAGGCAATTTAGTGGGGATAATGTTCATGGATCTTTTGCTTCGACTGTTGTCTTAACTTTAACCAGCCAAGTTTCTTTGGGTATATATCTTAAATTACACTTCGAAACTGGTTTGAATAAATGGTTAAGACCACTTTCCGTAAAAATTCATAAATTCATTGGAATAAGTATGCCTATTATTGGTTACATGCAAATGTTATTCGGTGTTATAACCGCAACTGGATGGTGTCGGTAAGTAATATGAATCAATTATATTCTCATCATAACGACCTTTTCTAACAAATTATAATTTAATAGAGATGATCATTTGGGTCAATGTCTTGCTCATTTTATTATGGGGTCATCATTTATTGCTTATGGAATTACAACCATATTATTATTGAGAATTGGAAGTGAATGGCTTCGAAGTAAGGGAAAATCACAAGATTATTTTGACAGTTTGATCATCATGGCATGGGGATTCATGAACACTTGGACAGAACATAGGTTTATATTTTCCATTCATGATTGCTTTGATACTTAATAATTCTTTTTTTTTACTTACAATAATGATTTTTTATGTTCGATATTTAGATGGAACGAAGTGAGTTTTTTTAAAAAAAAATATATATTTAATTTTTTTTTTTTGTTCTTAATCTATTTATGGCATTAATTTTTTTCTTTTATTTTAAAGCCATGGACTCATAAGGATTATCAGCACACAGCACTTGGAATAATGTGGTGGGCTGGTGGTTTGGTTGGATTTTATCTTTCAAGAAATGGAAAGAGAAATGTCTTTCCAGGACTCGTTATTTTATTTACTGGTTTCGTCATGAGCACTCATGCTCAGATGTTGGAAGTATCAACCTTAGTTCATTCAGTTTTCGGTTATGCATTAATGGGTGCAGGTTTAATAAGGATTATTGAAGTATGCTTCTTTACAAAAAATGATGAATCAATTAAAATTATTCAACAATTGCCTCCATTCGTAAGTACAATAATTTATTTGATTTGAAAAAAATTTTTTACTTTATCAAAAGTATTAATATCATATGTATCGATCATTGAAATAGCTTTTGATCCTTTCCGGCCTGTTGTTCATGGGAGCTAATGAAGAGCAACTCGATTATTTGAATGATAATTCGATTGATCCATATTCTTATTCTTTAATTATTATTACAATTTCTTTCTTATTCTTCCTTTTAACTAATCTACTTATTGATCTTTACTGGAGATCAGGAAAAAATAATGGTGAACCAAAATATGATAAATTATCTAATCATCCAATTCCACTTGATACGCAAAATGGACGTACTAATCATGATTCCTTCACTTCACCTAATAATTATGAATTTAATTCTCTTTTGGTTGTACATGATCAATCTGAAGATGATGATGAAAAATAAAATCCAGCCTTTTATTATTTGTATTTAATAATTGTAATAATCAGATTTTTAAAAAATGATACATATCATTACAGATAATTAAATGAAATGTGCAATACTGGTTTGGATCACAAAATAAATTATTTTGTTTATAATTTCGGTTTGAATTATAAATATAAAAATTAATTTTAAAAAGCTTTTATTTTAAATTGGTTTTTATAAATATTGCAATAGATTTTTTAGTATCTTTAATCACTTTAAAAAGAAAATTTATATTAAACATTTACACCTGCAATTATACATTAATAGCAACCTTTTATAAGTACATTATTTTTTTAAAAAAATTACTATATAATCAAAAGTGATAAATGAATAATTAAAATATACTTTCATCTATAAAAATTATATAATTTTAATTAAAAGTTTATTATTTTTTCATTTATTATAACTGTTTCTTCTATAAGCAAAAAATTTATAAATATTGATAAATTTATTTAAATCATATAAAAATATTGCTTATTAGATCTAATATCCTATCTTTTCATTTTCTTTTGGATTTATATAACTACTTTATTATTATACAGAAGAATATAAAAGTATTAGCTACCTAATTAGCGTGATAAAAAAGTAACGCGTGTCATTATATCCTACTAAATCAAGCTAGAATTATTTTTTATTTACACATAACATTTACTTAATAATAAACATAAATAAAATGCCATTATAATACATAAAAGTGAGTCATACTGGCACATAAAAAATTTTACATTATAGTGTAAAAAAATTTACTGTAGTAATATGTCTTGAAAAAGAACTTAGTGAAAGTCAAAGAGAAAGGATTATTGTGGCAAAAAATACTAGGATTTCTACAGTTATTGGTTACTTTCCTTTTTCTGTACAACGTGTATAAGAAGTATATGAACTAAAAAAACTTCTAAAGAAACAAGCAAGTTGATCACAAATTCTTAATGAATCTGAATACAAACATCTTAAATATTTGATGATTAGAAACAAAAAAATCATCATCAATTTCTCTCACAAATACATTTAAATGTTGCAAATAAAACAAAGAAAACTAATTCTAAATAAACCATCTGCAATGAATTGGTAAGGCAAGGTCTTTACTCATATATTCTTTAATTCAGTCTATTAATTTCTAAAAAATAAAGAAAAATGTTTACTTTAGGCTCGTACTTACAAAAATTAGATAGTTGAAGATTTTAAAAAAGTCATTTGATCAGACAAGTCTACTTATATATAATTTAGAACTTCAGGTTTTAAGCATATATAATGTAAACCTTCTGAAAAGTTTTACAAAAATTGTATTGCAGTCATAATTCAAAAAGCTTTGGTCACATATTTTGGAGTATTTCTCTTGAGTTAGTATAGATCCTTTGGTTTCTTTAATAGGTTGCATAACTAAAAATATATATCATAAAATTTTGGCTAATTATGCGATTTCTACAGTTATCAAATCTTCAAATATTAAATTACTTCCTTGACTAGCTCAGAACCTGATATAAATCTAATAGAAAATATTTGATCATATATTAAGGTTAGAATTTGTCAACGTGATTTTTAACTATCAAGTATTATATAATTAGAATAGTAAGTTTTAGAGAAATAGGATGCGATAGCTATAAAATATTATCACAATTTGATTAAATCAATACTATGTCAGGTTCAAGTTATTCTTGTAATAAATTTTTAAAAAATAGCCAATAATTTTTATATTCTCCTATATTTTTTTTTGATTTAGATTTTAATTTTCATAATAATAATATAATAAATAGATATAGATTTATTATAATAAAGTTATTTAGCCAAATAATTTAATTAAAAGTAATTTAATTTTTAAACAAAAGTTTCAATATTATTTAAGCTTCTTAATTAATTTTTTTTTAATATATTATTATATATATTGTTCTTATATTTTTTAAAGTTATTTTACTTATTTAAATTATTATAAACCTAAAGTTGATTGTAATAAGACTTGTTTTATAGTAATTTAGTAGTTTCTCACATGTTATTCTCTGTTATTAAATCATTATTACTTTAAGTTTAACAAATTAAACATAGGTTAAAAATACTAAATAAAAAGGATATTAAAATATTAATTTTTAATATTTTTAGAATTTTAATTTTAATTTAATTTAAAAATAATAAATTTTATTTTTTTTATAAATATTTTAAAAATAAATTGAGGAGTAAGAAAGCTTATGATAATGTGTCAAATAATTTAATTAATGAAATTATAAATGAAGCCATTAAAAATTTCAATTCAAAAGATAACAAATCTAGGTTGAAGTACAAAACTAGGAAAGACCTAAAGCATATCATCATCATATATGCATAAAATTTCTCAAAAAAATATTGGAATAAATTTTACATATCATACCTATTCAAAGATTCTGATTCTATGAGAAGACCAAGGAAGAAACCATATAATCTCATGGAAGAATCAAGAGATATAGAAGCTTTGCATTTTCAAGACCAAGAGAAAAAACAACAGTTGGCTATCAGAAAAGATCAATAATGATTGTAAGCTCATTTACTTTAGAAAAACTAACAAATGGATCTTATCATAAGTACATGAAAAACAAAAAAAATCAAAATAAACATATGAGAGGTTTGTGACTATTGATCCAGGAGTTCGAATCCCATTTGTGATGGATGTATTCACCCACAAAAGGAATCACAGAGGTTGGTAAGAATGATTCGCAGAGGTTGGTGGGACTTTGCTTACATGCAGACAAACTAAGTTCAGTAAGGGACAAGCTTAAGAACTCAAGAAGAAAAAGAAGGCTGAGAGAATTGATAAAGCAATTTCAAGAATTTTCAGGAGGATCAAGAACCTGAGGAACGAATTACACAAGAAAACTGTGAATTATCTTGCGAAAAATTATGATGTTGTTATTATACCTGAATTCAATGTTTCAAACATGGTGAGAAGAGAAAAGAGAAAGATCAAATCAAAAACTATGCGAAGTATGTTAACATGGTCACATTACTCATTCCGACAACGGCTGAAACACAAAGCCGATGAGACTGGTATGAAAATGATCATACAAAATGAAGCATATACTTCAAAAACATGCTCTGTATGTGGAAACATACAGAATAGGAGGGAGAAAAGTTTACAAGTGCAAGGGATGCAATGTGGTTATGGACAAGGGATGTAAATGGAGCGCGGGGGATATTCCTTCGCGCGTTGCTTGATGAATTTGTAATCATGCTTAGCATAGATTATTAATGATGTGTTACAATCCATCCGGTTGACCCGATTTAGAAGTTTTTTTTAAAACCAAATAAATTTAATTATTGCTCGTGCCAAGAGGTTCATAAGAATTTAAAACTCAGCCCAAGGACAATCTTAGTGAGTTTAGCGTTTATTTAACGAAATTAATATTCCTAAAAGAACTTTGGCGTGTTTAAATTATAAATTGATTATTCAATAAGCAACACTTTTTCAATTTCTGTACAATAAAATACAAGGATGGGTTAAATTTTTTATTAAAAAATGCAGTGTTTTATCGATCAAAAATATCAAGTTATTAATATATAAATAATAATAATAATAATAATAAGTTATAAAGTATATATTTAAAAAAATGTAACAATTAATTAGTTAATAAAAATGTGATGAGAATATATTATAAAAATTAATATTAATAACATTAGAAGCACATAAATTTGCTCTTCTTGGCCATAAGTTCTTCCATACGAGTTTCAAGTTGCCGTCTTGCTTTTTCAGCACATTCTTTCGCCTTTCTTTCTTCTTCTAAAACAGTTTCTATAACTTGTTTTTCTTTCTGTACGGATGATTTTGCGTCTTCATATAAATTAGTCATTTCATCTAATTCTAATTTCAATTTCTTGATTTGGTCCGAAAGATCCATCTTTTCTCGCTGTAAGATTTGCAATTGTTGTTTTGCAACACGTAAATTTGTTTCATTTTCTGTCAATGAACTTTCTAAAGTATCAATGAGATGTTTGCTCTCAAGACTCTCGCCTTCCATTTTAGCAATTCTTCTATGTAATTTTTGAATCTCTACTGTAAATTCTGCCGCCTGAGCATTAGAAAAGTCGAATCCAGTTCGTGAATCAGGCCTAGGGGAATTAGCATTTCTTGGAGGCGGACTAATTGTCCCATGTCCAATACTTGATAATAAAGAATGAGATGGTGGTGGTGTTGGTGGAGGAGTGATTGGAAGATTTGCTATTGCAGCAACAGCATTTGGTTTCATATTCTTTCTCTTCACAATATCTGAAAAGTTTGATGACATTGTCGATAAGCGGAAACCGCCAACGGCTTCAAGATCGGTTGCAAGCATTCCACTAGTTAAAGATACTTCATACAACGATTCATCATCTGTGCGAGTTTCAAGCTCAAATATCCTTTCTTTAAGAGTGTTGATAATATTTTCTTGCTCTATAATAGTGCATTCTTGTTGTGAAAGTTTTGTTTGTATTGAGCCGTCAAGGCTAGTAATTCTTGGACGGTCTTTAACTTTTGGAGAGATATGCTCCAATTCGTGTGGTGGCATTGAACTGCTTCTTTGAACTACAGATTTTACATGGTTCTTGATCTCGTTCTTTTGACATTGTTTCTCTAATTTTTCGTTAATTTCCAATAATCTTGAAATTTCTCCCTTCATCTCTGCTGAATCTGATTCTGATTTTTGTTTTAAGCTTGAAACTTCGTTTTCAAGTTCAATTATTTTGTTATTTAGTTCGGAAAGTTGGGAAGCGGTTCCATTTCCTCCATTACCGGCTGTTTCTAACTGCCGTAATAAAGATTCTATCTTCTGATCAAGTTTGATACGCTCTTCACAGAATGCAGAATTGTTTCGTTCTAGTCCTTCTTTTTCAGCTTCAAGTTCTCTAATTTTTTCTTTAAGATCTCTAACCGATTCACCATCATTAGAAACAGAATCATTAGAAACATTTTTCTCGAAAAGTCTTATGTTCAAAAGCTCACTCTCCAATTGCTTTATCTTTTGACTTAGAGCATTCATTCGAATTTGAGCTTGTAGAATTTTTGTTGTGAGATTTTCATTAGTTTTATTTAGACTTTCGTTAACTTCGGCTAATTTTGCAAAAGACAATTTGATTGATCCATCATCCTGATTCGTTATTCCTTCGTTAAAGGTTATTGAATGGTTGGTTTTTATTTTCTTTACTTCTGCAAGTGCATTTTCTAAGTCTGTAATGCGATCCTTTTGATCATTTGAAAGCATATCAGCATCCTCTTGTTTTGCAGCGGAATCAAGAAATTCTTCTGTTAAGGATTCTAATTTCTTTTGAAGCTGTTCAACTTGTTGTAATAAATCAGCATTCGTTTTCACCTGACCTTTCTTATCAGATTCAAGTTGTTTTGTTATATTTTCTAATTCTTCTACACGATCGCGATATGTAATCGATTCAGCTCTGGCTGTTTCAAGTTGTTTGGTCAAATCTTCAACGATAGAACTATCAATATTCTTATAATTTTGTAATGTATTTGCGTCATTGATTTGACTTTTCAACTGATCACATTGTTCTTTTAGTGTTGCAATTTCAACATTTGCTTTCTGAAGTTTAGACATTTCTCGATCCCGAATAATTTCCGCTTCTTGAAGTTGTGCTTTAAGTGTTTCAATCAGTTCGGCTTGTCTAACTTTAGAACTTCGGACTTCTCTAAGTTCATTCTTGATTTTATTCAAATTATCATTAAGTGATGATATATTTCCTTCATATTTAGATTGGAATTCATCAAGTCTTACTTCAAGTTCTTTGGCTCTTTTGGATGCAATGGCCTCGGATTTTCTTGCATCTTTAAGTCCCATTTGTGTTTTCACAGCAATTTCTTCCAACTCTTGGATAAGAGAAACTTGCGTAGATAATAATTGTTCTTTTTCATTCAAAGTGCAATTAGTTATCTTCAATTTACCCTCAAATTCATTTATTATCTGTGCGCGCTTTCTATCTGAAGCTTTCGCTTTCTCCAGCTGCGTTTCGACTGTAGCAAGTTGGTCTCCAAGTCTTTTAATTGTTTTAGCATCAACTTGTGATGAATTCTCAGTTTCGACAAGTTGCATCTGAAGATTTATTATTATAGACTCTAAAGTTGAAACTGCTTCTTTTTGTTCAGCTTCTTTAAATTTAATAGTCTCATTTAGTTCTTCAATACGTAAAGCATGCTGCTCGCGTTCTTTTTCAATATTCATCATTTGCTCTCCGAGTTTTGCTAAAAGTTCATTCTGTTTCTCCATTTCGAACTTGGATTTTGTTAATTGATCTTGAAGCGTAGTAATTTCTTTTGCTTCAGCAATTTTTGAAATTTTCAATTGCTCCACTTTACTTTCCAAATCTTTTGATTTCTTCTCTTCCGTGTCTCGTTCTAATAAAGTAACTTTCAACATTTTGGATAAATCTTCAAGTTTTTTTGAACTGGCATCATTAATTTCAGTTGCTATACTCAATTCCTCCCTCACATTTTTAAGTTCCCCTTCTAATTTAACAACTAATTCCTTTTGTGAACCAAAATCCTTTTTTAAAATGTCTAACTCTTTAATAACAGAATCTTTGGCGAGAGTTTTCTCTTGAAGTTGAGCCCGTAATTGATCAATAGTAGATTTTTGTTCGGATTCTAATACCTTCAATAATTTAATCTCGTCCTTGACCAACTGTAACTTTTCGGCTTCTTTTTGTGCTATCGAAAGTTTAAACTCTAAATCTTGAATTGTTTTTTCGAAGTTAGATTTGATATCTTTTAATGAAGATAATTCATCTTTTAATGTAGAAACGTCATTCTTTTTTTGCATAATTGATAATTGATTTTCGAGCGTTTCAATTTTTTCAAGTTGTTCAGTTTCTTGAGCACGCAAACTTTCAATTTCTTCCTTTAGTTGTTTAACCTTCTCTGAATCTTCATTCTTAGCTAATTGATTTTCGCGTTCAAGAATATGATTATGGTTTACTAAAGCTTTAGATTTAATATAATCAATCTTTGTTTGTAACGATGTATATTCCATTACAGATTTTTCGAGTTTCGATTCAAGGTCAGAAATTGTCTTTTTTTGTAACATTTCTGTTTCTTTTGCTGATATTAATTCACTCTTCAATCTTGCAGCATCACCATCAAACAGACCATAACTATTTCTAGATAATCTAGATTCTAAAACTGTAATTCTTTCTTTTTGCAAAAGTTCAATGTTTCTCAATCGTTTCATCTCTTGTCGTATTTTTGTTTCTTCAGCATCCAACATTTTCAAACGTTCAAATGCAAAAGATTCTTTTTCTTTGGAAATTTTTAATTCTTTTCTTACACCTTCTAATTCTGATTTTAAAGCTTCATTATCAATTTTATGGGTTTCAATTTTTTCTAACTCAATTTGGAGTTGTTTAATTTGGTTTTGCATCTCTTCATCGCGATTCTTAACTTCGGAAAGTTGCAACCTTAGTGAAGATGATTCTGCTTCTTTCCCCCTTAATTTTTGTTGTATAACACTCTTGTCAGCTAAGTCTTTTTTCAAAGTTTCTATAAGTTCATACTTCTCTTTAATATCCGAATTAAGTTTTTCAAGTTGTGATTGTAATTCTGCTATCAAACCTTGATCATTTATTGAGTGTTGGGCTTTATCGAGTTTGCTACATATTTCTTGTTTTAATGTGGCAAGATTTTCTTGAAGAATCTCAACTGTTTTTTGTGGATCCATTGTAAATTTTATAGAATTTCGCGGAGTCTGACATTGTGACTCTTTGGCTTTTGACAATTGATTTTCAAGATATTTAACTTTATCTCCTAATTCTTTAAGATTTTCGTTAACATTTTGTTCTAACTCGTCCGAAGTTTGTTTGCTGTTACTTATTTCCAAAGCCTCATGATAAGCCTGTTTAGTTTCATGAAGTTCATTTTCAAATTTGCGAATCGTATCCCGTTCAACAGTTGGCAATAAAAGAACCGCGATTGTATGACTCTTCGCCTCGATCTCAGCCTGAAGCTTTTCTGCTTTTGACTTAAGACCAATAATCTCGTCATCAACTTCTTCATTAGGCTCGTTGACGATGTTAGAGACTTCACAATGTAAATGTTCTTCTTGTTCTCTTTCAAGTTGTTGCTCTAAATCTTTAACCTTAATTTGTAATTCGTTAATGAACTTTTTATTTTCTTCATTTTCTTCATCTGATTTCTTTTGATCCCTTTCAAGTGCAAGGAATAATTGTTCACGAAGCTCACGGATATTCGAAACCAAATTTACAACTTGTGAACCTTTTTTACGAACGTCATTTTCACGTTCAGAGATGGATTCAAGTATTCGACTTCGTTCTTCCCGAAGATTTTCTACCTCTTCACGCAGACGGTGTACAATTTCATGTTCATCACTTTCGCTTGTAACTCCTGATATATCACCCTCTGATGTTATTACTGACATCACTTCCAATTGAGCTAAGGCATCACGCCTCTTTATTTCTTCACGAAGTTCTTGTACTACCTCCAAAGTTTCACGATGAGTCATCTCCAAACGTGCAAATTCATGTTTAAAAATTTCCAAACCGCCTGCCTTATCCTGATGCAAGGATTCAAGTTGTTGAATTTCATTCTGAAGTTTTTTGACAATTGCTTCGTGGGTAAGGTCTTTCTTCTCTTTATCAATGATTTCTGGTGCTAATGATCTGACTCTACGATGTGTCTTTTGTCTAGAGGCAACCATAGCATTGACAAAAGCTAGCGCTTCTTTATTTCCTTCCTTATGAATGCACGCAGGAGGAAGAGACATTCTCACAGAATTAGATAATGGTGTCGACGGGGTCATTGGGCTTGAAGGATCAGAATCAAATAAATCCGAATGATTCAACTTCACTTCAGTCAATTGACTCTGTAGTTCATGAATTTCTTGAAGACATCCCTCATATTTATCTTTGATTTCATTGAACTCATTTACAGTTTGTTCATGCACTTTATGTAACTCTTCTAATTTTTCTTCGAGAGACAATATAATCAATTTTTCTTGCTTACTAGCTGATAATTCTGAAGAATTAGTCATCTTAATCAAAGAAATTAAATTGGAACTTTCATCGGCACCCTCTTTACCTTTTAACCTTTTCAATAACTCTAACTCATGTACAAGGTCATCAACTTTTTTTTCAAGTTGCAAAATTCTATGATCACGTTCTTCGATCTCATCCCGTAACAATTTCATTTCTTCTTCAGAATATGAAGCTTTCATCTTTGATTCTAACTCAAGGTAAGCTTCATCCCTTTGCTGCAATCGTTTTTCTAATTTTTCAACAACCTGGGTGAATTTTTCAACTTGTTGATCACAAGATTCGAGGCGCGTCTCAAGATTAGTAATGTAACATTCGGAGTTCGCTTCACTTGTTTTCAAATGAGCGATATTGCCTTTTAATTCATTAATCAACTCTTGATCTCCCTTTTGTTGATTAGCGTACTTCTCTAGTCTCACTTCAAGTTCTTTAATATATTGTTCACTTGTAGACTCACGCTCACTAAGGGTTGAGATTTTCTTTTTAAAGTCATTAATTAAATTAATATTCTGTTCATTAATTTGTACCGCAAACTCCAGTTTACCTTCTCGGTCTTGCATTAAGGTTTCAGTATGACTTAAAGCAGCATGTGATAGAGCAAGTTGACTTTCAAGTGTAGAGATGGATTTTTCATATTCTTCGATTACAGGTTCTGCGGCCTTGCGAAATTCCGCTGAATCTTCTTCTTCCTCTTTTATCACGCCCAACTGATGTTCTTTCATTAGTAGTGCGGCATCATTATCTTGGTGCATAGCAAGTTCAGCGGTCGTTATCGCGTATTTTTGTGATAATTCCGAATAGGAACGTTGTAAATCCAGTAGTTGTTCCTCTAATAATTCAATGTCTTTGTTATGCTTTAAAGTAGCTTTTATGCTCGCCGTTGTAAAGGTATTGAGAGATGATCTTTTAAAACCATCTCCTTTTTGAAAATGAACTGGCGTGCTACGACCGGATTCACTTTGATACATATCATCGTAAACATTTTCTGAATTCGGATTAGCAGATTTCAAAGCTTTAATTTCAGATCTAAGTTTCATTACTAAGGATTGTAAATGTTCTAAATCGGTCCAACCGGTTTCCTCTTGATTTACGATCGCGGAATTTTTAATATTACGAGCACGATTCGCATATTTGAGCGTATTAATTGTTTCGTTGAGATTATATTCAGTAGGTGAAACGCATGCAATCATCAACGTCTGTGCGTTGCCACCGAGGGAATCTTGTAATAAACGAGTAAGTTTAGAATCTCGATATGGAATATGCGTAGTATGTTTCGCCTTTAAGGGATCACCCAAGGCGGATATTACATTCCCAAGAGCCAGTAAACCTGAATTAATTGAGATACCCTCTTTCGCACGATCCCCAATTGCGGAGGTACGTTTAAGCTTATTAAAACAAAAAAAAAAAGAAAAAGAAGATTTTAAATAAATTCGGGTAGGTAATGTTTAATTATAAAATGAAAAGGACAAATTTGATCCGATAAAATTACCCGTTCACTTCCAGCCAGATCGACAAAATGGAATTTACTTGTCACGGTCATATTTTCTACATCATCGCGACTGCTCATCCTCATCTGTGACCTCGATGACGGACGGGATCCACTTAATCGCGAGAAAGATCTAGGATTACCATTAGTCGGTGACATAGGTGAACCCGACGCGTTCGAACCTTTTTGTTGCGACATAACAACCGAAAAGATTGCGTGAGACCTGGAAGATTGAGAATTCATATCTGTCGCACCGACCTGTCGATTTAAAGATCCGCGCGCCAGATGTCTATATAATACCATAAATATGTATTAAGATATATTATATATTTATTTTTTTTTTATTTTAAAAGAGAATGGTTGATCACACGCGTAAAGTTATCACTGTACTCACTCCATAACCTCATCGACGCTATGAACTCTAATTTCCTGTAGGCCACTCCAAAGGATATTACCCTTTGAATCTTCTCGAACCATCACCTGAGGCTTACTCTCGCCACATATTTGCTCTCCCAATAAATCGATCAAATCCTCATTATAAATTTCAACGAAAGAAACCTTGATTGCAAATTTTCTCGTTTTATATTGAGCAGCATTTATGGTGGAAAATAAGGTGGACATTGCACGCGGAATTATCCCCTTATAATCAGGTAGTATGGAAGAATTATCCACCGTACCCATCGTGTGTGTTTTACCCGAGGAAGTCTGCCCATAAGCAAGTATTGTCACATTATAACCTACGATGGATAATTTAAGATGGTTAAAAAGAATGATCCCAACAGGCCGTAAATTTCCCTTGAAAATTTCCGAAAATTACCCTCCAAGAATTTATCGACTAAATTTAATACCGCCTTCTCGAATACTTCTTTCTGTTTCGTATCTGGACCAAATACATGATCAAAGCTAAAGGTTTGTGGTTTTTTATCATTTTGCCCTTGTACGACAACTTGATTTGGTATATGCGGAGATGTTGTAAGAATCTGTCGTTGAAATCGCGTTGGTAAATTTGCGGTATCTTCGTTTGTAATTGGTCTTATGCGAAGCGCTTAAATAAAAAAAAAAAATTTCCAACGGTTAGAATTTACGCGGTCATTCATTTCATTAAATTTGATTTTTTAAGATACATACCGACTTGTACCGAAGTCTTCTCGGAACCTTTATCGGCAGCCATGTGAAAAAAATAATATTTATATTGACTTTACAATGATCTGATTTTACAATGATTTAACGTTAAGAATATTTTTTTGTTTTTTGATTTTTTTTTTTTTTTTTTTTTCAAAGAAAAATTTAAATATATAGATATATATAATATATACTACGAGCCTGCTCGTTATTTACTAACAATGCTAAAAGTATAACTAACATATATTAAAATATAAAACGTTCAATATTTATATTCGTTATGATAAAACGTCAAAGCGATTTTTGGAAAAAAAAAAAAAAGATAAAATAAAATAAATAATCTTGTATTAAAGAAAGTAAAAAAAAAAAAAATTATTATTTTTTTTTTTTTTTTTTAGAATTAGAATAATAATCGATACTTCAACAGAAAAGCGAAGAAGGGGTTGAGATAATACTGGATGGAATGAGACGAAAAAAAAAAAAGCAGGGATTTTTTTTTCTTTCGAATGACTATTAGAGAATTGAAGGAGCAATTAAAGATTCTAAAGCAAAAAAAAAAAAGAAAGAAGAGGTTCTACTTTCGTTTCTGTTAAGAGTTGATCAAACTCGAAATCTTTAGGGATAAACTCAACATTCAGTTGGGAGGAAAACAAGTTAGATAATTGGTAATTCGTTGTACGTCCATACAATGTTATTGTGATTGGTTATCATAACAAAAGAAAGTTATTACACCAAGGTCGTAATTCAATTATTTGTTGCGGAATTGTTTATAGTTTTTAAGAAAAACAAATGTTTAGCATATAGAAATTAATTCATGCATAAATTCTTCTCCGCATTAGTTTAATTAGTACCCTGACTGACACAAATTAAAATCATTACACATGGACGTTAAATTATTTTTATTGGTACGACATTCATTGCAATGGATCGGATGTCCCTGATTTGCACCACTTGTTGAAGGAATTATGTTTCTTTGCAATTGAATTGTGGTATTGATTTCATGAAAGAGGGAAAACGAAGAGAGAAAATGAAGAGGAAAAAAAAAAACATTGAAGATCCATCCTTGTTCTCAAAAATGGAAAAATCCCGCCATCCGCAGTAAAACTACGCCGTTTCGCCGTGGCGCAGAATTGTTATGGTTCGATTTATCATCAGAATCTCTCACGAGTTTATTAAATTGGTGACCGTTCAGCTAAAATGCACTCTTAACCCTCTCATTCCCGTTACCCTCCCCGTTTCTTCGCCATGTTTCAAAAAAGTTCGTTACATTACTACGAAGATGGGGATATCATCCTGATTGTACAAGACACCGCCTTTTGTCTTCACCGAAATTATTTATCCATGGCATCAAAAGTGTTTCGTGATATGCTTTCCTGTGTCACTTCATCCACAGATAAAGATTTGTCCCGTATAAATATTACCGATACATCTCCTTTGGTTTTTGAAAAATTTTTAACTTTTATTTATCCACAAAATTTCGTTCCAATAACTTGGGATATCATCTCGGAATTTTGTCAAATTGGTGACAAGTATGAGTTTGCTTCCGTACTTGGAGCCGCGGAGACTTTTTTGGAATCTCACTTTTATGAAAAACCTCTTTCCTCCTTGATATTAGCCGATAGATATCTTTTCAAATTCATTTATAAGGAATCCTCAAAATTGGTCTTGAACAGATTTCATGAGTATCGTCAACATTCAAAATTCCTCTTACTTTCTCATAAGACGAGATCGGCTTTATTCGAAAAATACCTCGATTTCACCATTTCTATCACAACCATTTGCTCTTTAAAAAAACACAAGGATTTTCATCATCACTCCTTGTGTCGCCTCAATAATCTTTCTTTTACAAGTCATGAATGTGAAATCAATGATTGGTATGAATCATTTTTTGAGAGATTTCGTCTGTTGAACTCTGATACATTACTTTCCCCCTCAAAATCCATGAACGTTATTTTAAAACATTTGATGGAATTTTGGAGAGATTACGTGAATAGAACTTGGACCGAGTGTGAATATCGATTTTTCAACGATTACTTGTCCAAACAGTTTATTGCCCACTTTGGTAATTTCGAACCCTTAAAATTTGAAAAATCAAGGAGGGATGCCGAGCATTACATTTTTATCGAATTGAAAGATTAATTCGGAAATTTTTGTTTCTAAAAATAAATACTGTAATAGATAGAATATTTATAAATACCC